TTTTTTTTTTTTTTTTGCGGGGGTTACTGGGGATCAAACAGAACCCTGGGCTTGTGCTGCATGCAGCAGCACCACTGAGCTAAATCCCTGGCCCAGGTGATCATTATCTTTGCGAAAATTATCTCTTTTAACACGTGTTCTCTAAGAAGGTAAACCTCAAATAACAACTCTTTCATTTTAGGTTTTCAGTGAAATCTTTTGTTGCATAAACGAACAGTGTTAAAGTTACATAGTAGTATTCGGGATGACTCAATATGTCAGACTTTTTAAATCTTGAATTTTTGTCTCTCACAGGCAAAAAACAGAGAACTACTCAAACAGGTTGCAGCGTTGTCAAAGGGTAAAAAGTTTGACAAAAGTGGAAGCATACTAACATCTCCTTGAAAAACTTGTTAAGTGTTTCTGCTTATAATGTAAATTTGGGGGAACAATTCTGTGATGCCCATATTTTTGCACATCAAATGAATTGGTGTGTTTCCTATTCACTTTTGTAACTGATCTATAGCATTTTTTAAGTTGTAAAGCATTGAAATAAAACTTCAACTGGTTTGAAGTAACTTTTTAATTATTTGATATCCAAGAACTTTTTGCCAGCAATAGTATTAAACAGTTGTAAAGGAGTGCATGAGTAGTGCTCTTTATAAAATGCAACATGCAATAATAGAGTAGGTGTGGTTTTAAGAAGTAAAAGCAGCAGGGTTTTTTTTTTCTTTTTTGTTTAACAACACTATACTAGAGTCAGATAGTTTTCAATTAGAAGTACAAAAACTTTTAAATAAGGAAAGTGGTTAACACTGGTATTTTGGAATTGTATTTTTACTTTGCATCAATATGAATTTAGGAGAGAATCATGGTGCTTTTATTAAATGAACTCCAGAGTACATGTAAATATGTTTTTAAAAGTTACATCATTAACATGAGTTAGTATCCTAGCATTTTCATTATTAGTATTGGAGTTAATGTTTATTGTACAGTATCCAAGGTAAAATGTGTTTTTGTTTTGTAAAAACTACTGTAGATTTTTACTTACAAGTGCCTTTTTGCCACCTAATGTTTTTATTTATAGGAATGCTGATCTTTTGTACATAGTTTGTTTTAAAATCATGTTTAATAAATGTTTGTATATAAATGCATATGTACAGAAGCCTATTTCAAAAAGAAATCAAAGTTGATAGTAACATTTTTGAGGTTGCATTAAGAACTAACTGATAATGCATATAGACTAGATGATTTTGTGATTAGATTCTATGTGATACTGGGAAGCTGTTGGCTATTGAATGCATTTAATTATGTTGAAATAATTCCCTAAAGATTTAATTTTAAATCATTTCTGATAGAGTAATTTTATTTTTTGTTTTATGGCTTCATGTTCGTATTTTGTGAATTACATGTTTTGCTTTATTTTTTTTAATATAAAATTTCTTTAAAATTCATAATGTTTCTACAGTGGTCCATATATCTGCTTGCCCTATAATTTGTGGTTATATCTAAGTTAATATTTATGTATATCATACGTAGTTTATAAATTTAATGCAAATCTAGGAAAAAATTAACTTTTTATAATCTAATCTATGCTTATCTTAAATTGGAGTCTGCATAAGATTCAGGCACTATGTATAAGTAAATTGTCTCAAAGTCTTTAAAATTTTCTATATAAGGTAAAGATGGTGCAAGATAGGTTATATGAAGTTATTGCCTAACTATATTCTGATCTAGTAGTTGTTAGTCTATAATGGAATTTGATCTACTTAATTTCATCAGATTTTAGTTCACTTTTGAAAGCTCAGGCATTGTTAGATACACTGTATAGGAGGAAAGAGTTCTTTCCTTTAAAATTTATGGACAAAACTAAATTTGTTGTAATTGAATTTTTATTAGAGATCAGTTTTAAATGTTTTTAGACAAATGTTGACTATGAATTTCATAAAAAAGTTTGGCTTTCTTAAGACCACATGATGATTGTAACAGTTCTTATTAACATGATTCATGTTTCAGTAGAGTATCCTTATAGTTCATTGTTCATTATGAAGTGATACTATGTGTCTAATTTGGAAACATATAATCTAGGATAATTTTCAAATAATAGCAAATGATTGAGTCAATAAGATTTGGAGAAAATTAAGCCAGCTGTTTTTTATAAGATCTTCATGTAGTAATCTTAAATTTAGTATTCTCAACAATGTGGTAGATAATGCCTTAACATGAATTTTAATGTTTGCAAGATTTGCTAAATTCACAAAATAGTCATTATCTTTCTTTAAAATTTGTAACATTTTGTATTCTGGTTTCAGAGCCATTTGTCAATCCGCAGTGGTCATTATGGTTCTAAAATAAACTTTTAGAGTTCTTATACCTTGTTGGAGATGCTACAAAAGACCCCACCCCCAACCCCAGCTAACATTAAAATGAAAAATCACTTTTAAATAACTAAGCTTTGTAACTTCCAAGGCCAAAATCACTAAGGGGCTTCACAGTATTTAGTCCTAATTAAAAACCTCTTTCCTCAACAACCTTATTTATAAATTAAATTTTTTGCAGTTGTATAAACCAGTAATTCAATTCCAGTTCTGATCTATAGTGTATTGACATAATGAGCTTATATTCTTTAAATGTGGACCTGTAAGGAGATACTATGGTGTGCTGTATTGTGCTTTTAGCCTGTTTTCCACAGTTATTTAGCATTTAACAGTGAGGGTCATTTTGACTCAAGTTATTTATGTATTAATAGCCTTGTGAATATTGAAGTCCTTTTTAGATTGTATTAGTCTAAATATGCATTCTGCAGCAAAACTGTTAAGCTGTTCACATGTACATACTATTGAAATACTGTACTTGTTGTACACATCTGACTATTGACATTTTTTACTTTTTTTCTAAATCCAATATTTCACAATAAAAACTTCTCAAAAGCATTGTATTCATCTCCTGTTTCTTTCTTTTTTCTGATACTGGGGATCAAACTCAGGACCTTGCACTTACAAGGCAGGCGTGGCACCCCTGAGCTAAATCCCTGGCCACCATTTCCTCTTTGTAATGTAACTAATTACTGTATATTTAAAGTTATTTCTCTTAACAGTTTCAGAGGACTGCATTCCAAAATTGGTATCAATAGGCTAAAGTCAGTGTGTTGTCAGGGCTAGTTTTCTTCTGCAGGTCCTAAAGGAGAATTCATTCCCTTGCCTTTCCACGTTACAGAGTTGCAGTCGTTGAATTCTATGATCTTAATGATCCTTCCATCTGCAAAGCCAAAAGTGTAACATCTTCATGTCTGTCTCCTTCCAGCATCATTTGGTCTTCTCTCTTATAATCACCCTATAATGCCTTTCTAACAACTTTAGGACAGCATTGTGTCCCACTTGAAGTGCTTAACATAGTCACAAGTTCAAAATCCCTACTATCATTGAAGGTACCATATTCATAGGTTCCAGGAATTTTTGGCATGGACATCTGGGCGAGCCACTATTGAGTCTACTATAATCCTCAGCATTTTCTTCATTTCCCACCATGAAGTCAAAAAGCCATTCGTTTTCCCCCATGTTTTGAGAACCAGTGCTGTAAGAAAAGGCATGAGGTGGAGATAAAAAAATGGCTTAACAAATAATAGAAGACATTCTAGGAAGAATGTGGAATGAACATGGAAGGGTTATTTGGAGCCCCATTTTGAATGTTGTTTGGGCAGAGGCACTGTTAGAGTTTTGAAAAGGAAGTGACATAAGACCAAATAATGAAACAGGAAACGGTAAATGACTTACAGATTTTTATGCTGTTGCTTATCAATAATTTACAGTAGTTTGGCTTAAGAATCTTGTGTGTCACAAGATTGCTACACAAATGGTAGTTTTAAGGAGGTATGTGTAGAGTCATCAGACATAGCTAAAAAATGGATAGAAAAAATTGGATATGTCAAGTTTACAGTCACAGGAAAAAATCTCAATATTTAACAATGCGATGGTCAGTGAAAAAGCTCAATTCTCAACAATTCCTTGGGAGCTCCTTGGCAAGCAACTGGTTTATGACTGAAAAGGTCCAGTGTTTTTTTTTGTTGTTGTTTTTGTTTTTTCATATTTAAGGCTGGCACAAGTGCATTTGGTGCTAATGCATGTGATGCTACTTAACCACTTTGCAAGAACTGTGTTTTGCTTGCCAATTTGTTTGGGTCTTTTATTTGGGGGAGGGTCTAAGTTTAGAGTTTTTTATATATTCTAAATATTAGTTATTACCAAGAAATAACATGCTGGCAAGGCTGTGGGTGAAAAGGAACCCTTGTATATTGTTGGTGGGAGTATAAACTAGTACAACCACTATGGAAATCAGTATGGAGATTACTCAAAAAACTGAATTCCATTTGACCCAATATTCCCCTTGTAGGTATCTTAAAAGATTTAAGAACATCATATTACAGCAATACATACATACTCATGTATGCAGCACAATTTATAGTATTTAAAACTTGGAAGCATGCTGTAATGTCCATCAACAGAAGAATAGATAAAGAAAATTATTTTAACACAGTTTTGTCATAAAGAAGCTAGAAGCCGGGGGCATGGTGGGCACACACCTATAATTACAGCACTCAGGAGGCTGAGGCAGGAGGATCGCTGTGAGTTTGAGACCAGCCTGGGCAATATATATATATATATAT